ATAGCAACCATTTTTTTATAAACTATAAAACTACATTTACTGTATATGCAAAATTTTGAGTATAGGTGTGTGTATAAGCATACTTGTATACATACATTATATGATTATGTTGATCTACATTATAATACATTACTAGTCAAAAGTAACTCTGCCTATAATATTTGACCATTTCAACCAATAAACTGTATTTTGTGTTTTTCAATAATGAATGTACACTACCCAACTCTTTGCCATGAATTTGTTTGCAGATTAAAGTAACCACAAAGTTGCATTGTGTTTTACTGTGACTATTTAAGAGTTTTTTCTCTGTCTTTTTCATTTATTATTTAATGAACTGTTTTTATTTCTACACAGAAGTATGTGCTGTATGGTGTCATTCAAAGAAAGAAATTGAAATAATTATGCTTTAAACTTATTGGACTCGCGTAGGCGGGTACTAAGCAGTTGGGTTGTCATTGCCCTCGCCCACGCCGTAGGCGTAGTTATAGGCGAGGGTACTGCGCTCGTGCTGTCAGTGTGTGTGTTTGTGTGTTAGCAAAATTTTCAATCATGGATGATTTTTTGGCTCATGCTACTTTTTAGTCAAGCTCTTCAGAGCATTTCTTTTGCCAATTAGGTACAGAAAAAGTTGTTCTTTTTCAATAATAAACTCTTTTGTTCTTTTCCAAGGTGGCAAAAGTCGGCAGCGTTTAAGAACAGAAAAAGTTTACGAGTAACTTTTGCATAGTTGAAGCTATGGTACCTTTGAAGGCAACAACAGGTAAAGGAAAATATGGAGAACAAAAAGTATTTGTGGAATTGCTTGATTTTTCTTCGTTTGTGAGATATGACAGCTTAAGTGTGACTTACCAGCCATTTTGTAGCGTAGCGGCTGCGGCTCCACTCTGAGAAGGTGGCTACTGCCTCGAAACTGAAGAAACTGGATATAGGAATAGCATGAAACAAGTAGAGCCTAACAAATCTGTGTAAAACTGTGTGCATGCCTAGAAAAACTAAAGCTTTCTGTCCACAGTAAGGCCACATGGCACCATTTTACTAAACTGGGCGGTGCATATTTTTGATTGAGCTGAGCATAGATATTAGAGTACCTACTCTAATATATATCTATGAGCTGAGCCACACCTTTCATTCCAGCCACACCTTTAATTGCTGCAGCAGCGCAGCAAGGTAGCTGAACAGAAAGTCAGCAACATTCTTTACAATTTTTCTTGAAAAAAACCATTACTGTTTCACTTTTGTTGTGTTACACTTCACTGGTTGTGGCGAGGGCATGTGCTATAGTGCACTCGTTGCCCTCGCCCACGCCGTAGGCGTATAGGCGAGGGTACTGCGCTCGTCGTGTCAGTGTGTGTGTGTGTGTGTTCGCAATATGGCGTCTTTTTCTCTGTTTTCAAATCCTTGCTGCTCTTTGCTCAGGTCCTGTGGAGTCCCACTGTCAACTAAAATAATTGCCAAAAGTAGTTTTTCTTCAGTTTACTTCTTCATCTGTCTTCTCCTTGGCAGCATGAGCCAGTAATGTTGCTAAACGTAGTCAGGATTCCGGGTAACTCTCTCATGACGAAAGTAATAATGCAATAGAACATACCAAACGATAGATTGAAAGTTTTTATTCATTTAATATGTAGGAAATTTGTCTTAAATTCTTAATTTCTGAGATATGGTAGCTCAAACATTGCTTACCGCGACTGTTACACGAGGTCCTGTCTCCAGGAAGAT